CAGCGACTGCTCCATTCTTAGCAATTCGATGTTTTAAACATCTAAGCGACTTGCATGCTTACCAATTGCCTGTTCAAATGAGGCAAGAATTTGAGGCAGTAACTAGCTGTTTCTCAAATCTAAACTCGTTGCATATACCTCGTTACGTTGGCACACTTAAATCGAAAGGATGTCAAATCCATGGATTTGCTGACGCTTCAACGAGAGCTTACGGTTGTTGTTTATACGTAAGAATGCAAACAGATAAGGGTATCACTACCAGGCTGCTAGTCGCCAAATCCAACCCACAAATCACCCTATCAAAAGAGTTAGAGCTGCTAGAGAAGCGTAGAACTGCAATTACTATGATCGCGGTCGATGAGGTAACAAACCCTATCGTACATCTTATTGAGTCAACGTCATCATTTTCTAAGTTAATCCGCATAGTTGCATATATGTTCCGCTTTATTGATGGAAAACAAGAGAGCCATTCTTCACTTGTTCCTACAGCTTCTGAGTTAAGCTTCGCATTCCTTGCAGTTATATCTGTAATTCAACACATTGAATTCAGCGAAGAAATAAAGAAAATAAAGAAGTCAGTCGTGTTGCAACCCTCATTGCAAAAACTGACACCGTAACGCTTTATTTGGAGCATTTGCATCGCTCTCATTGCCACGCCAATCCCCTAGTACTAATGGGCCTGCTTCGTCAGCAGGTTTGGCTGGTCAATGCTCGACAGGCTTGCAGTGCAGTAGTCCGAAAATGTGTACATTGTTTTCGCTACAAGCCGAAACTCTTATCCCAAATAATGGGCAATCTTCCCGCTGATCGCTTACATGGAAATAGGCCATTTGAGATCAGTGGAGTGGACTTTTGCGGTCCAATACTAGTTTCGCTGGGAATTCGGGGCAAATCGCCAGTCAAAATGTATATTGCCATATTTGTTTGCTTTACTTCGAAGGCAGTGCATCTTGAATTAGTCACCGATTTAACCTCAAATTCATTTCTGATGTGTTTATCCAGGTTCGTTGGTCGACGTGGGCTTGTCCGGAAGCTATATTGCGACAATGCCACCAATTTCGTGGGTGCTGCACGCACGCTGGACCTCAAAACTACGTTCCATGGCAACACAGCGGACATGGAAATGTTTTCTGCGGAGCGGGGCATGGAGTTTGTGTTCATCCCTCCTCGAGCGCCGCATTTTGGCGGCCTTTGGGAAGCGGCGGTGAAATCCACCAAGGGATTGCCGTTGAAGGGAATGGGCAGCGCAATCTTGCGCCAGGACAAGGTGGCCACCGTGCTGGTCGAGGTAGAGGCCGTGCTCAATTCGGGGCCAATGGTCGCTCCCAGCAGCAACCCAAACGACGGCCAAGTGCTCACGCCAGGGCACTTCCTGATAGGAGCAACGCTCGTGCCGCTGCCAATCGCATCCACAGAGCCAGTCGACGACGCCAAGCTGACATGCTTAAAAAGATGGCAGCTGACATTCAACATCAAGCGTCGATTTTGGAACGACTGGTCAAGGGACTACCTGCTCAGCCTGCAGCAGAAGTCAAAGTGGACGAAGGAGAGGCAGAACTTACAGGTCGGAGCAGTCGTGCACGTGGAGAGGACAACGCTCCTCCACAACCGTGGATGCTAGGCGTAGTAACAGAAGCAATAGCCGGAGGAGATGGTAGGGTGCGCGTAATTGTCGTTAAGACAAAAAATGGCACATATAAAAGGGCAATTCATCGCGTTGCACCACTGCCACTACACTAATACACCATATTATTGAAGCCCTGCGGCCTTTCAACGCGGCCGATGTTAAGGCATTTGGATATTTGCCTTCTGAATTATTATTATATTATATATATTATTATATTATATTATATATTATTATATATATATATTAAGAAATTGAATTATTATCGAAATTGTATAGGTTAAGTAATTGAAGCTGAACCACTGTACAGAGAAGTTGTTGTACGCGCTAGCACGGGAGTGTCGCTCTCCAAAAGATCGCTCTATCGCTGCTCGCGGTTAGATGCGCATAGGTGCGCTCTCTACTGTGCAAGCTGCGCTTGCGTTGATGTTAAATTTAATAAATCAGTACAAAATTGAACACCGGTGCCAGCACTTCAAATTCACTTCAGAGAGACCGCAAGTTGCTGTCTACATTTTTTTATAAATATATTATACACTGGCCCATCGAAGGACCAGACTCCTTTTGGAAGGACAATATTTTTAAATACATCGAAATTGAAATTTTATTAGTTGGATTCAGGGTAGTATTTAGTCGAGCACTCTCGACTAGAATTTTCTTACTTGTTTATATTTTAAATAAGAAAAAAATAACGTAAATTCACAAATTCACTGCGTACAAACTAAAAACCCACTGTTCTTAATCGCCGTGTGAAGCTTTTAGTACCCTTAAACAGCATATTACGGTAAAAAAAAAAAAAAAAAAAATTAAAGAATGTCAATCACGTGTTGGTTTGAAATTTTTTTCATTAAGTTGATAGATTTCGTCATGGGCAGGAAAACTAAAGAGATTGATCCCGATTTGAGGAAACTCATCGTGAAATTACGCGATGAAGGGAAATCTTTTAGGGAAATTGGCGAAATTGTTGGCAGAACGCTTTCTTCTGTCCAAAAGGTAGTCAATAATTTTAATTTGACTGGCTCAGTACAGTCAAAGCCACGCTCTGGGAGGCCCTCAAAGCTGACCGAGAGAGAGAAGAGGGACGTGCTGAAGACGGTGCGGCTAAGCCCCGCATTAACTGCAGCCAAGATTAATCAGGAAGTTTAAGAGAAATACAAAAAAGAGCTCCACGAAGACACCGTAAGAAAATTTTTAAAGAAAAATGAATTAAATGCCCGTGTTGCTCGAAGGAAGCCACTTATCTCTGAAGCAAATAAAATCAAACGGATGGATTTCGCCAGAAAATACTTGGAAGTCAGTCCAGAGTATTGGAACCAAGTGATATTTAGTGATGAGAGCAAATTCTGTATATTTGGTATCAAGGGGAGAAAGCTTGTGTGGCGAAAGAGAGCCACTGCGTTCGACGTACAAAATCTAACTCCAACCGTTAAGCACGGTGGAGGTGGCGTAATGGTGTGGGGGTGTATGGCAGCAAGTGGAGTGGGCAATTTGGATTTTATTGAGTCCACAATGAACCATATGGATTACCTCCATATCTTAAAACACAATTTACACCAAAGCGCCAGACAATTGGGTCTTGGGGAGGACTTTGTCTTCCAACATGACAATGACCCCAAACACACAACTCACAATGTCAAGCTCTGGTTGCTCTATAATACTAGACACCAGCTTCATTCGCCTCCCCAGTCACTCAAACTTAATCCCATAGAGCATTTATGGGATTTTTTGGAGCGCAAGATCAGAGAGCCAATAATTACTTCAAAGGACTTGCTCAAATCGGTTCTGATGAAGGAGTGGCTCAAAATTCCGGCTGATTTCACCCGGAAATTGGCGGCATCGATGCCAAAACGGTTGGAAGAGACCAAGAAGCGAAAGGGGTATCCAACCTCATATTAATTTTCAAATTTTCATTGAAAAAAAGTTATTTTTGGTTTTGTTTTTTAGTTTGTACGCATACTTTTTCTAAGTCAATTTTCGTTGTTTTTTCTTATTTAAAATCTTAAAAAAAAAAAAACTATTTAATATAATTAACAAAAAAAATTTTTTATAAATGTTATTGAATAGTTTTTCACTAAAAAATATAATATTGATAATAATACTATTATTTATCATATTTATTCTCTATCAAAGTCGCACGTTAGGCCTGTACGCATAGTTTTTCTGGCAAGTGTATATACATATGTATGTCAGTGTGTGTTCGAGACAACTATTTTCGAAATAGCTGTGCAGACGCTGCACAAAAGGCGCCAAACGCGATGATCAACGGACGAAAGAAAAAATGATATAGAGAATCAGAATGCAAAGCCACTGCATGCAGGTTATCTGAGTTTTGATTTATGTATATGTGTGTGTGTGTGTCTTCTACGATTGACACAGCGTTTTAGGTTTGCGCGCTTTCTATGCAGATGAAGCTGAGAAGGCGCCAACCGCGACGAACGAAACGGCAATTAAAGAGGATGCAAAAAAGATACAGTACAAAGGTACAAGTGTCGGGTTACCGTGGCCAACATGGTTCGCGCACTGAACTTATGCATCAACGAAATACGTCTGTAGAATTTGGCAACGATTGAATTATATACTTATTCATTACTTAAATACAATTCTGTGATAACTTATACACAGTAAATCTGAAGTCTACAGTACAATAGTGTTCAAATAAGGTTAAAAAACGAAATTATTCCCGACAAAAACGATATCGGATGAGTTATCGAAAAATATTATAAACTTTTACTGCGTATGGTACACACGAGTATGCATGAAAAATATCAGCTTTCTAGCTATTATATCTTCTGAGATCGGTTTGCTCATACGGGCGAACGGACGGGCGGATATCCGGCTATATCGACTCATCTCAACTCACAAAACCATATACCCTGATTTGCCATTTTCAATGGGTTCAGGGTATAACAAGTAAGAGAGCTCTAGTCGAGACTGCCTGACTACGAGATTCCCTGAACCCTTCGCAACGGATATTTCAATAATTATTCGCATATGCACACACAGCCAAACACACGCACGCATAAACACGAATTGTCTGTAGTAGTGGATTACAACTGGAATTTAATTGTTTGATAACTTTTCGTGTGGGTGGATAATCTTCATTAAACTTTAAGATTATGTATATAACATGTATGCATGTATTTACTAAAGCACAATCTCTAGTATTTGAAATACGTTTTTTACAAATATGTGGGTGAGCGGGGTAATATAGGGGTGTTGTGATCGTCAAATATTCGAATGTGGATAGCAGTGTTCGTACGAACATTTTGTTCGCCGATTTTGTTCGGACAAATATAGAAATGTTTCTATCTTACGGGTGTTCGTGCGAACATGTTCGACAATGGATTCGAGTGTTCGGACAAACGTCACTTATAGAAACATTTCTGACAGCAAGGACGTGCAAAAATGAATCGAAAATTTCTTAAAGAATTTATTGATGGCGTAGAACATAAGCCGGATTTGTGGCAAAATAAAAGCGAACATTACAAAAATATTCATTTGCGCAATAAAGCGTGGGATAAGTTGCTATTAAAATAGAGGTAGATGAATATGCTATAATGAACGTCGTCAAAAAAAAATAAATAAATAAAATAAAATAAAATACCTTAACTCTCAACGAGCATCATACAGGCGCGAAAATTCAAAAATTAAAAGAAGCGAGAAGTCAGGTGCTGGTGCAGATGATATCTACGAGCCCAACATATGGTATTTCGAAAATTTAAGCTTTCTGCATGATTAAGAATTGCCAGCCGATGGACTTCGCACATTTGACGATACTTCATGTGTTGAAAATGAAAATGTAAGTATTATGCGTATTAATTAATTTATTTATATATGTTTTTATTTAAGCAAAATATTTATTAAAGTATATAATTTTTTCAAGTGACTGCTCCACTTGTATAAAAATATTCGCGAATTTTATTACGAATTTCTTGGACATTCTCTGGCAAATTTCCTCCTGCTGGCTGCAGACCGTCAAAATGCTGTTCAGGCTTCGAAGCTCCAGTTTCATTAGTCGACTCAATGGTTCCCCGAAAAAATCTGCGGCGTTTTTCATAAATAAAAAGTTGTGCAAATAACAGCAGCAAAGCAAAACATACAAATTGTTGTTAATAAAATTCTGAGCCCGCTTGCCAAAATGCCAATAGCATTTTCAGCAACTCGGCGAGCCAATTCACGAAAGTGAATTATTATACTCATTCACGAAAGTGAATCAGTATATTGGTTTTGTCCAATGTCCGTCTTGCTGTCCGTCCGTCAGTCCGTCTGTCCATATGAACGCAATCTATTTCGGCGCTATTGAAGCTAGAGACTTGAAATTTGGAACACATACTCGTGTATATCTCCGATTTATAAAGTGTTTGAATTTCCCCGATCCGCCCTTTAGGGGCGTGGCAAATCGGAAAATGCATTTTCCGATATGCCAGAAATCATATTAGTTGAAGAGCTAGAAAGCTGAAATTTGGAATGTAGATCCGCGTCGACCACCCAAGATCACGAGCTATGGCGGATATATCTGCGCCCATTGGGGGCGTGGCAAATCGGATCTGAAGATATAATGATTTTTTTAAGTTCTGCTATATTTTGGACACTATTGATGCAATAATTATGTATATAAGTTAAGCGCTCCCATACTAGAGTACTAGTGATTGGGGGACGCTGTGTTGGGTTCTTGTGAATATATAACAACTTTGTGTTCAATGAAATAATATATTTTATATAATTTGGAACAATAGGTCTAAACTCTCTCTAGTCCGAATATAAACTGAACTAAATCTGTTCAACTGGTTAGGTTCTCCCCTTGAATGTCTGACTGGACTCTCCAGCTTCCTTAGATTGTCGAAAGTCTTAACTTATATACTCGGGCTGATCACCCAAGACCAAAAAGTTTTGTGCGATATATGTCCGCCCACAGGAGCTTTGGCAAACCGCAAACGTTAATATCTCTTTAAGTATAATAGCTAGAAGCTTCAAATTTAGATAGTTAAGTTACCGGTAACCTCCTCTATCGATAACCCAAAAAAAAATTTACGCCTCTTTAGGGGCATGGCATATCGAAAAATACCCTCTAATTTACACATTTTTTGAGGGTAAGCATTCAAACGTTGTTACGTTCTAAGAACTGACCAAAAATGAGGTGTCTACGCCCAGTAGGGGCGTCGCAAATCGGGAAAAAACTAAATTATTAGAGCGAAACTTAACTACTAAATTGTTGATGCGATGTGAATGAGTAACGCCCGACTGCAACGTTCTTACTTGTTTTAAATTCTGATTGTGCAAATACTCCAGAATCTGATACCTTCTGTTAGCTCCAACCTCCACACATAATAATTCATACAATGCTAAACGTCTTCTTGTAGTTGTAGTAAAATTATCCTGATGATATGGGCTTCTTGATATGCACATGTTTTCCATCAATCCCACCAATACAATTGACGAAATACCAGTAACTCTCAAAGCTTGATGCGATTTTTTCCCAATCGCTTTCATTTGTGGGTGCCTGTAGTAATAATAATACAAATTAATTAACAAATATGTTTTATTTCCAGATCAGGCCAAAAAACGGAAAAATTACGAAAGTAGCGAGTTCCTGCAAATAGCATTGGAACATTTGGACAACAATGCCAATAAAAAGCCGAAGGATGACGCAGAGATCTTCAGTCTGTCTTGTCTGAGGACCAACAAATACTTGCTAAGAAAGGAATGGATACAATTATTTTGCAAGGCCGATTGGGTATGCTGACGTACGACCGCATTATGCAGCTCGAGCAACCTCCACGTGCTCCACTCTAATGCATCCAGTAGTCCAGCGCACAGGTTGAAAAGCCAGTACCAACTTCTATTGTGATATATTGGACGAGCACACCGCTTGCATCCGATTCAACAAGTTCATCGGGTTTCTCAATCTATCCAGTTGAAGCAAATCCATCGGGAAATTTGCAATACCGCTCATTTGCATAACTTTTTAATAACTCCGATTTTAAATAAATTTTTATATGTTATATATTTTTCTTACGTTAATAAACGGCTTGAGGGCACGAAAGTGAATTATTATACTGATTCACGGAATTGAATTAGAATATTGGTTTTTGTATGAACGCAGTCTATTTCGGCGCTATTGAAGCCAGAGACTTTGGAGCACATACTCGTGTATATCTCCAATTTATAAAGTGTTTGAATTTCCCCGATCCGCCCTTTAGGGGCGTGGCAAATCGGAAAATGCATTTTCCGATATACCAGAAATCATGTTAGTTGAAGAGCTAGAAAGCTGAAATTTGGTGTGTAGATCACGAGCTATGGCGGATATATCTACAACCATTGTGGGCGTGGCAAATCGGATAGAACTGTATCTCCTAAAGTTTTAAACCTAGAATGCTGAAATTTTGCACGTAAGAAGTATCGATTCTATAAAGATGGATGAAAATTATATATCCACGCCTACTAGGGGCGTGGCAAATCGGACCTGAAGATATAGTGATTTTTCGAATTCGGCTATATGTTAGGCACTATTGATGCTAGAGAAATTTTGAAATTTTGTATATATACGCGGGTTGATCACCCAAGTCCAATAAGCTATGGTAGATATATGTCCGTTCATAGGGCGCGCGGCAAACCGAAAAGTTTATATCTCCTACAGTTTATAACTAGAAGCTTTAAATTTATATAGTTGAGTTACTGGTAGCCTCTTCTATCGATTCCCCAAAAATAATTTTTACGCCTCTTTAGGGGCATAACATATCGAAAAATACCCTCAAATTTTCACATTTTTTGAGGGTAAGCATTCAAATTTTGCAGTTAGGGTACCGTTATCACGTTCTAAGAACTGACCAAAAATGAGGTGCCTACGCGCAGTAGGGGGGTGGTAAATCGGAAAAACTGTATTTTCTAGAGTATTAGAGCGAAACTCAACTTCTAAATTGTTGATGGGATGTGAATGAGTATTCCGCAGTCGGTAACGCCTGACTGCAACTTTCTTATTGGCTTATAAAGGAGAATGATGAAAGATTCTTTCCAAATTGGCGGGAACACAGAAGTATCTAAGGACAAGTTTAACAATTTTAGTAATTGTGACTGAAGAGAAACACTGCACTCTTTACTCACACAACTAGGAATATTATCAGCATCGATAGAGAAAGATGATTTCAATGTCCTAATGGCTGCAGCCAGAGAGGCTGCAGTAACTTTAGGAGTATTTATAGACCCATATTCAGGAAGTAAATATGGAGCTAGAAAGCTAGAAATTTGTATACTCATTTACGAAAGTGAATCAGTATATTGGTTTTGTGCAGTGTCCGTCTTGCTGTCCGCAATCTATTTCGGCGCTATTGAAGCTAGAGACTTGAAATTTGGAACATATACTCGTGTATATCTCCGATTTATAAAGTGTTACAATTTTCCCGATCCGCCCACTAGGGGCGTGGTAAATCGGAAAATACATTTTACAATTATGCATGAGTCTGGGTATATAAACCCAGGCTCAGAAGAATAAAGATCAATACGAAACTAAACACCAACATAGTAAAGTGTATTCGTTCATGGTCCTTCGAGCCGGATCACAAGTCTACCAAATACCAAATGTTGTGACAGTTGTATATTAAATTTAAAAAAGTGGTTTCTTCTTTGGCTTACCAATCCACGCTGTGAGTAGAGGCACAGCAAGATCAACAAGGCGATCAAAACAAAAACACCTCCAACGGGTTAAGCCAAAAAGAAGATCAATCACAAATAAACAAAAACTACAACATCCGCAACAGTGAAAGCGATAATATCATATTGTACACTGAAACTATGCAAGAAAAGACTTTTAAGTTTTGACTTTAAGCCACGTACATTTTGATAAATCAGGGACAGCTGAGAAGAGGTTTGTAAGTAATTTAGTTTTTTGGTACAACGTTTGATGAAGATTGCACCGAAGGTAAATTTACTGAAATAGGCATCGATCTGTTACGATGTTTGGGTTTAAATTCATGAACAACTACATGAGGTGGCCAGAAATTAGGGTCACAAAGGGTTTTAAAGTATTCTACAGGCACATTGATTTTGAACGAAGCGATTTCACGCGGTGTCGCAAAACTAAACTTCGATATAAAAACATTAGCCGGAATCATATTTGAGATAAAAGCCGATACTGCCTCAATGGTAGTGTCAGATGAAAGCCTAGATAAGAAAACTTGCTTTCTAGAAGTGTTAGAGCGTTAAAATAAAACAACTCCGAATTCAAGATGGAAACTGAACTCTTTATTGCTTAAAATCCTAGTTCTTATATACCTAACAGAGACTCTTAAAACTACTTCCAGTCACTGGAAGGGTGCATTTTCTCACACAAACAAGTGCACAGATGTTTACTTAAGTATCCCTTTTTTTGAATCGTTGGGCCCAGGCTCACGTTACATTTACATATATTAGACGCTGCATTGGTCGCTGCAACTAAGGGATGACATATTTATTACTTTGTGTCGGATAACGCGCAGGTTATTCGAGTACTGTCTCTATTTTTATTATTATGTATGTTCATGTTTGAACAAGGAGAGACAACAGATAAGGTAATGCTAGGAGAGGCTGACTTATTGTCACTCTTTGTTTGAGCAACAATAGAAGTAGCATCCAAATTTGGGACAGGGGCCTGAGATTCAATAGAAGCCTCAATAGGAGAAACAGATATGGGACAAGGTGAAGGAGGATCTAGAGAATTGGGAGCCGATGACAAAACAGAAGCGCAAGGTGAGGGAGGAGCAAGCGAATTAGGTGACGGTACTATTACAGAAGGAGTTACCGACAACAAAGAAGTTTCCAATTGAGAGAGAGGAGTTTCAAAGCCGTACTGATTTAAGATTTCCTCAGCAGCAGCCATGTCACTGGTCAACTGCATAGAAATCTTCTCCAGTTTTAAAAATTGAGCCCTCACAGCACTATACATTTTAGAAAAGTTTATTTGTTTTTCCAAGCAAATCGGATAAGACCAGCGTATGCCTCCACAACCAGCTTTAGTAGTAGACATAATCTTGTCATATTCACGCCCAGTAAGACCTGCACACTTAGTATGCATCATGTTATCACACAGCCAGCAACTTATAAATTGCGCTTGTGCAGAATCAACTGTTTGCCTGAAAGTGCAAGCTTTTTTGCAGCAACTCATATTGGCAATTGGGATAGATCACAAAATTACTGAAATGTAAACAGAAATGTAAAAACCAAGAGAGGTATAAATGTGTTGAGAGCGAGTCCAACAACAATCAGCCGTTACAGAGCGCAACGAAAATATATGTTGAGAGAGCGAGTCAACAACAAAAACAGCCGTTACAGAGCAGATCAAAAGTCCTCAACGAGAGAGTATACTTGCACACCACAAAAATCAAAGATTCAAGAGAGGCAAATACAACAACCGTAGATAGTGAGAGCAACTTATGCACACACTCACACAAACTTAGAAAGAGTGAACTGGGGAGAGCGCCAACAAATAGAAACACTAAAGCAAAAATGCAAATAATGAAACTAATGAACCGACACTGCACACAAAGCTTCACAAATTAAACAAGTAAGAGGACTCTAGTCGAGACTGCTCGACTAGGAGATACCCTAAACCCTCTAATCTGATATTCACTCTGCACTTCTTTTCGGCACACATACATACACACGCACGCATTAGAACGCGCTCTGCTAACTGCGCAGTAAGCAGCGACTGCGCTTGGGCTGCGCTGTAGTGTGGGCAACATTATAAGAATTTCTTTGTTGAATAATTTAATTTCTAGACGTACAATCTTAATGAAACTTTCAGAACATAATCATAATGTTCAAATGTATGTACATTCCAAAGCACAAGTCTCTAGTATTTGAAATACGTCTTTTACAAAGGTGAGGGTGAGGGGGTGGATATAAGGGTGGGGGGGAAATTACAACAAAAATCGAAATTATATAAAATATATATAAGTCTACATTTAAAATTTGGAAGCTCTAGCTCTAAAGGTGTAGGAGATATAATTAAATAACTAGCATTCGATAAGGTTTTTGATCGATAATAAAATATCGGGAGTAGTTATCGATATTTAAAGAAAAACTTGATATGCGCGTGATATATACGGACCTAGGAAAAAAATTTCAAGTCTCTAGCTCTTATATCTTCTGAAATCGACGCGTTCATACGGACGGACGGACGGACGGACAGACAGACGGACAGGGCCAAATCGACTTAGCTCGTCGCCCTGATCAAGAATATATATACTTTGTGGGGTCTGCCACGCCTCCTTCTGCCTGTTACATACTTTTAACAAAACCATTATACCCTGATTTCCCATTGAAAATGGGTTCAGGGTATAAAAAGCAAATTATTAAAAACACAGTGAACAACGGATCAAACCTTGCACAGGAAAATATAGACATTTGCTATATACAACCGAACCGCAATTATGTGAAATTTAATAAGAATAATTAACTAAGAAAACAAGAATAATTGAATTGCCGAATCAAGCGGAAATTGGGAGTACAAGGAATTTCACAAAATGTTGAAGTTCTAAAAAACAGCGTTTGCTTGACAATCAAACCAAGGATGACAAGCAAGTTCGTCACCAGAACGGAGGCCCTTGTTATGTCAAAACTGCAAAGAGCTCTACCGAGCAAGAAAATTGAAATGGACATCAATAAGGACTGGATGGGCTGCAAGCTGGCAGACCCACATTTCAATGAACCCAGCAGAATCGATGTTGTGATTGGCGTTGATTTACTCCACTCAATAATGTTGGGAAAAGTTAAAAAAGTCAACGGTATACTGAGGCAAAAAACTGAACTTGGATGGATTGTTTCGGTGATCAGCGCAACAACGACGATTTGCCTGGATAACCTCGAACGCCTCTGGAAGCTGGAAAATAACTCAAGTTGTTCAAAAAAGAACAATAAATGGGATGGCCAAGGCCGGCTAGTAGTCTCCATACCATTTAAAAAAGATTTCGAGTCAGGAAAATCGCGCAAGCACGCTATGACACGATTACTGCATATGGAGAACAAATTC